AATACACAATGTTATCCCTTCATACACTTGGTAATCCTCCCTTACACAATGTTCTTCCTTCATACACAAGGTAAACTCCTAATACACAAGCTAACCCCTTCATACACTTGGTAATCCTCCTTTACACAATGTAATGCCCTCATATACAAGGTAATCTCCTAATACATAAGCTAATCCCCGCATACACAAAGTAATCCTTCCTTACATAATGTAATGATCACATACACAAGGTATTCTCCTAATACACACGCTAATCCCCGCATACACTTGGTAATCCTCCTTTACACAATGTAATGCCCTCATACACAAGGTAATCTCCTAATACATAAGCTAATCCCTTCATACACGTGGTAATCCTCCCTTAGAAAATGTAATGCCCTCATGCACAAGGTAATCTCCTAATACACAAACTAATCCCCGCATACACAAAGTAATCCTCCCTTACACAATGTAATGACCACATACACAAGGTAATCTCCTAATACACAAGCTAATCCCCGCATACACTTAGTATTTCTGCTTTACACAATGTTATTCCCTAATACACAAGGTAATCTCCTAATACACAAGCTAATCCCTTCAAACACTTGGTAATCCTCCTTTTCACAATGTAATGCCCTCATACACTAGGTAATCTCCTAATACATAATGCAATCCCTTCATCTCTCTCTGTCATGTTTTATTTTGATTGATGTTATTTTGTTTGACCGGTACAAGGTAAGCCATTATCTAATACAAAATATACACTTGGTAATCCTCCTTTACACAATGTAATGCCCTCATACACTTGGTAATCTCCTAATACATAAGCTAATCCCTTCATACACGTGGTAATCCTCCCTTAGAGAATGTTATGCCCTCATGCACAAGATAATCTCCTAATACACACGCTAATCTCTTCATACACGTGGTAATCCTCCTTTAAACAATGTAATGCCCTTATACACAAGGTAATCTTCTAATGCACACGCTTATCCCTTCATACACTTGGTAATCTTCCTTTACACAATGTAATGCCCTCATCCACAAGGAAATATCCTAGTACACAAGATAATCCCTTCATACACTTGGCAATCCTCCTTTACACAATGTAATGCCCTCATACACAAGGTAATCTCCTAATACAAAAGCTTATCCCTTCATACACTTGGTAATCTCCGAATACACAAACTAATCCCTTCATACACTTGGTAATCTCATAATACACAAGCTAATCCCTTCATACACTTGGTAATCTCCTAATACACAAGCTAATCCCTTCATACACGTGGTAATCCTCCTTTCCACATTGTAATGCCCTCATACACAAGGTAATCTCCTAATACACAAGGTAATCCCTTCATACACTTGGTAATCCTCCTTGACACAATGTTATTCCCTCATACACTTGGTAATCTCCTAATACACAAGCTAATCCCTTCATTACTTTTGGTAATCCTTTCCTTACACAATGTAATGACCACATACACAAGATAATCTCCTAATACACAAGCTAATCCCTTCATACACTTTGTAATTCTGCTTTACACAATGTTATTCCCTCATACACAAGATAATCTCCTAATAGACAAGCTAATCCCTTCATACACTTTGTAATTCTGCTTTACACAATATTATTCCCTCATACACAAGATAATCTCCTAATACACAAACTTATCCCTTCATACCCTTGGTAATCCTCCCTTACACAATGTAATCCCTTCATACACTTGGTAATCTCCTAATACACAAGCTAATCCCTTCATACACTTGNATTTCTGGAGTATCCAAAAACACACCCGTACAGTCCGATGCCTAGCTCCTAACTGATTACCAAACATGTAGAACCGTGATACATTGACAATTAACACAATAAAGTTAATTTGATCGACAGCTGTCACTTATCTCTCTATTCTGACTGGTGAGTACCCGAACGGTAAGGCAATTAGCCTGTCCTTTGTCCGAGACTTAAGTGTCATACTTGGTAAGACCAGTTAATCTCATTACGTAACATAATTGACTTGAAAGGTATAATGTATAAGATGGACACCAATATTACATGAGTTAATCTTACGACAATGAATCAAAGAAGCTACATTTACACCTAGAGGTTTTCTTAAATGGTACAAATGTAATTGAATAGCTTTTAGGTATGAAATTGTTACTGAACGAAATTAAATGGCGAAAGTTTGTAAGAGGAAATCCAAAATAATGAATGAGATGAAATGTTAAATTAATGTACATAAATAGCACTATTATCATAAAATTCTTTATGATATATGCTTTAGGATTAGCTGAGCTATCATTGATAGGCCCGTCTACATTTGTATAATAAAGTGCTCTTGCATGTTTAAGCATATTATTTACTTTGTTTCGTGCAGGTTTAAATTTAGCTTCAGGCAATGGGGTTTTAACTCTGTTGAAATGTTTCCTTAACCTGTTTCTGAGTTTAACTTCTTTTCCTATATGTCCGTTCATCCATGGTTTGCCGTTTTTAAATACAGTTACAATTTTTTTTAGGAATATGTTTTTCTAAAGTAGAAATAATTTTGTCAGTGAACAGTTTACGTTTTTCGCTTACATTATCTTCATAAGAAAACAAATCTTTCCAATTTACCTGTCCTATCTCTGTTTTAAGGTTTAAAATATCTGCTCTGTTGTATAACCATATTTTCCTCTAAAATACTTTGGTTTGGGTAGAAACATAAGTCCAAAACATAAGTCCAAAGGGTGACAATGACAAAATCAAAGCTCTGTGGTCACTTATAGCTTCTAAAGCTGGTACAACAATGGATGATTCGGAGGATATAGTATCACTGATGTAGAACGGGTCTATAAGGGATTGTGTAGTTTTTGTTACTCTAGTTGGACTGGTAATCAGGTAAGTTAAATTATATTGCTGTGTTAGAAAGTTAGGATCATTGTTATTCCCTGTTAATAAATCAATGTTGATATCAAATATAACATGATGTGTGTAGTCAAAAGCTATGTCAAAAGAATGTTTCAGTCGAGTTCAAATTCCCGAGTTAGTATTTTGCCATGGAGGTTTGTATAGTACACATAGAAGATACTTTTTATTATCAGTACAAAATTCAATCCAAATTATTTCGTCATTCGGTGATTGAATATCAAGTCTGCATTTAGGCAGTATGTCTTTAGTTGAAAAATCATAACACCGCCACCAAAAGCGTCAGTCTTTTCTAAATATTGTTGAGATGTGTTTCTGTGGACCGAGATGTGTTTCTGTGGACCGAGATGTGTTTATGTGGACCGAGATGTGTTTCTGTGGACCGAGATGTGTTTCTGTGGACCGAGATGTGTTTCTGTGGACCGAGATGGGTTTCTGTGGACCGAGATGGGTTTCTGTGGACCGAGATGGGTTTCTGTGGACCGAGATGGGTTTCTGTGGACCGAGATGGGTTTCTGTGGACCGAGATGTGTTTATGTGGACCGAGATGGGTTTCTGTGGACCGAGATGGGTTTCTGTTAAGCACAATATGTCTTCGTCATCGGTACATGTAAAACTCTCAAGAAAATCAATTTTATTTCTAACGCTTCGAATATTCAAGTGCATGATTTTTAATGAGTTATCGTCAGAAAAAGAAAAGGATATATTGTTAGATATATTGCGATGTTGTTTTGGTTGCTATATAGGGATATATTGTTAGATATATTGCGATGTTGTTTGGGTTGCTATATGTCTGTAGAAAAACAAGAAAAATAACTGATATATGCAAATATGCAGCAGGAGGGGGAGGCCTGGCCAATGGGTGGTGCTTCCATATATGGTGGTATTGTACTTGGCGTTGTGTTTTTATGATGTTATATGTTTTCGCACCCATTCCTCATTAATCTCCACTGCCATGTTCTTTTGCAATGCCGGCGGGACACGTTGGAAAGTACAACCAGAAGATTGAAATAGAGCCAACAATTTGTTTTTACAAATAAAAGTATAATCATATAACAAAATAAAAGTAAGGACTTTTGGGCAAATTGGAAAGAATAGACAACATAAATAAACATTTTCAAACTTAATAGTTAACCACCTGGAGGGAATTAATCTATGAAATTATAGACTGAATAACAAAATAAACTAACAATAACAAATACATTTTAAGCTAACTAAATGAACCAAGACTATAAATACACCTGAGTAAACTTATATAACAATAGAATTATAGGGATGATAAACTAGGCTATAAAGAAAATGGCTAACAAACAGGGGAGGTAACTCGTCCTATCAAAACTGTAAATTCGTATAAAAGTCACCAGTTTGAGCTGTTAAAGCCCTGTTCCCCAAACTTAACAAGTCTCCTTTGGGCCTATAAACCTATGAAATAATGTGTTTGTGTAATGCCTACCCATTTCCCTTTACTTTCAGTTTCCCTGAACTTAACATCAGCAATTAGTAACGAATACGTATGTTCTTAAACAAATGGCAGATCGTTAGTAAAAGTAGGAATAGTCATGGTTACGAAACCTGTGGAACCAAGTTTCACCGTTTATCAAAACACGTTGTTGCCTATTACGTAGGCGACTGTTGAAACAATTAAAGAGATATCCTTCAATCCCACATGATTTTAATTTATGTAAAAGTGATGCATGACTACTTTTGTCCAATGCTGTTGAAGAAACTGTTCATATGGCGCGAAATTCTTCGTTTTGTAGAATTCCTTTGAAAGAAAATAAAGTAAAACAGTTTTGACATAAAACCATGCTGTTCATGTCATAACGCTGGACAATGCCACGTCTTGTCTGTTTGACTGATCCTGATGAGAGTCATCAACTGCGTACTAGAGTTTGTGTATATGTGTGAGCTTCTGAACAATGTCGTATAGCAGGTCGACGGTTTGTGATAGCGTGTGGAAATCTTTCAGGTAACATGTAAGTTGTTATGACCACGAAGGATCACGCTCCAGACACTACTCCCCCGAGGCTCTAGCCGTGTCACTTTTGTAGGTCGTGCTTTTTTATAACCCTGCGAGCGCTGTTATAAATATTCACAATACTGCAACCACTGTGTGTTAAAACTGTTTTCGGTTAAAATGGAAGGATGCATGATAGCGCGACTTTGTCTTGTGACCTTGATTGTCACTATACACTGTGGTCCTGTTAGTTCGAACAGTTATTTATTTGGGCGGGAATTGTTCGGGACGAAGACCCCTTACCTGTGGTCGAGACAGAGCTCGGACGTAACTGACCTTACGTCCGTGCAATATAATGGACAGCAATGTCGGGCTGTGTACGTGGACGGACTGTACCGACATGGTGCGCGCTATCCGAGCCTCAAATGGGTCAACCGGATGAACGAACTGCACACACTGTTAAGTGGCGGGAACGGCATTGACCAGTCCGTGGGGGACTGGGGGAACGCCTTCAAAGCCGACAAGGCGGCCCAGCTGTCAGCTCTCGGCCAGCAGGAAATGGTGGTTCTCGGGGAGAGGCTCGGGTCTCGATTCCAAAGTCTCCTCAGTAGCGAAAAGGACAGAATGCACTTCTACTCATCGGCGAAAGACAGAGCCAAAGACAGTGCAACCTATTTTCAGAAAGGGTTAGGAAATACAATCGGCACCAACCTCTCCATACCGACCACTATTGACAACCTCATGCTCCGTTTCTACGAATCCTGTAAATTGTACAACAAAATCATGGATAACGAAAAGACATTCGAGGAATACGATAAATTTCTGACCGGACCCGAAATGACCAACGTGGTGACCAACGTCAACAACGCTGTGCTAAGCGGTCACTTCAACTTGACTGTCGGTGAGGGTTTTTTCATGGCCAATATTTTTACTTTTGTTGTAGCGCTTAAATGTTTACAAACCAATAGCACATTTTTGATATAAAACCTTTGCTTTTGTACTTTAGATCAGGTGAGGATAATACAACAGATATGTGCGTGCGAGCTCGCCTTCTTCAACACATCGGACTGGTGTAGCTACCTCAGCCTGTCTGGATTGGAGCTTATGGATTACGGTGGGGACATAAAGGTATTTTGCATCCTTTACAATCCTAAAATCATATGCTTAAAACTTTCAGGTGGTGACCGTCGAAATTTCTTTTGTGGTGAGTATCGCATAAGGAGCTAATTGGCGAATTAAAGATAAGGAAACGAGAGTCGCTTCCCCTTATCAAATTACTATAGAATAGCCAATATCTGGTCATAGTCGTGACGAGCAGGAAATATTGAACATTCTGGACAGATGGCAAAAGCGGAATTAAGAACAAGAAAATAGGAGGAGAAGGGACTAGAAAATCAGTCTACGAAAATTAAAAAGCAAAAGATTACTGAAGAACCCCCGTCCCATTGCACTGGTTTTCCTATATACCAACACTTCCCCTTAACTTCCGGTTGGACATAACTGTAGCACAGTTGGGCAAAGATATTTCCGATGACCAAGTAGTTCACTCGATTAGAGTAATAGTAAACCAATCAAGTCTAGGGTTCGAACCCCGATCTAGCCCCGCTTAACTGTTACACTCAGAACTCTGTTGTTGATTGTATTTTGTGTATTTATTCTTTATCTTTTCTCATACAAGTCCTGCACGGTATGGGTTTCTTACCAGAAACAATTAGTCAAAGCTATAGTCATGTGGGAAGAACAGCCTCCAATACTAAGTTACAGTTTTGGGAAGTGATACAGGAATGTGTGGTATTTTTGGAGAGAGAAAAACACACACACACAAGGAAAATGAAACATGAAGTTTTTGTGAGTGTCCACATGTGATAGCTTTGAGCTTGTCTCATTTCAGACAAGGATGTTTCTTGATGCAATAGATTCGTTATATAGTCTGCCACTCTTCATTTGAAGACTTAGGGTAGGTAAGCTGTAAAATCGACTGCAGCTGTTATTAGAAGTTTTTATATAACATACAGGTAATAAACATATAACAATAGGTAACATAAAAGAGGTCGATAAGGAAAGCTGGTATCATAAGGAGGGATTTATAACATACAGGTAATAAACATACAACAATAGGTAACATAAAGCAGGTCGGTAAGGAAAGCTGGTATCATAAGGAGGGATTTATAACATACGGGTAAAAACATATAACAATAGGTAACATAAAACAGGTCGGTAATGAAAGCTGGTATCATAAGGAGGGATTTATAACATACGGGTAATAAACATATAACAATAGGTAACATAAAAGAGGTCGGTAAGGAAAGCTGGTATCATAAGGAGGGATTTATAACATACGGGTAATATAAGGTAATGTTTAGCTTGTATATAGTTAATATAAGGTAAAATAGGTGTCGGAGGAGTACACGTCTAACGTAAACGTGAATATCATGTACTGTACACACAAAATAGCGTTATATTTTAGACATAAACTGACATCGCCAATGTATGCTGGAATTTCTGTCCCAACAGAGTAACATAGAAGGCGGCTACCGACACGATATCACAGCCCAGATGTCGTGTCCACTCCTCAAACACGTACTTCAACAGATGGACAAAGTGGTGACTGCCCAGTCCGACAGGTAAAGAAAACCGCCACAGCAGTTAATAGTTTGTGGAAAAAAGTTATTTCACATCTGCACAAATATTTAAGAAGAAAAGTGGATTGATACCGTGGTACAGAAACTATTTGTATTTCTATAATGTCAGAAACGACACCAACATTTGTATTTCTATAGTGTCAGAAACGACACCAACATTTGTATTTCTATAGTGTCTGAAACGACACCAACATTTGTATTTCTATAATGTCAGAAACAACACCAACATATCACATATGAATTTTGAATATTTATTATGTATGTTTGTAACCTATATGCTGTATTGCATTTGGATATACATGTAATAAAACTTGAAAATTGCCCTTGTAGACCTGTAGCCTCGTTCCGGTTCGGTCACTCGGAGACTGTGTCCCCCGTGTTTACCGCCCTTGGACTGTTTAACGAGTCGACAACGTTCCTTGCCACAGACTTTAAAGCCAACGCCAACCGCCAGTACCGAACAAGTGTTATACTGCCGTTCTCCGCTAACCTGGTCACCACCATGTACAAGTGTGGCACGGAGTACATGGTCAAGATGATGGTCAACGAGGAAGAGGTGGACATCCCGGCGTGCGGTGCTACCATATGTCCCTACACCATGGTAAAGGAACACTATGGACAGTTTGAGAACTGTGAATTTGAAAACATCTGTGAAAATGAGGGAACCAATACTGGAACAATATCTAGGATTTCAGGATCTGTAATGATCGCCATTGTTCTCCTATTGTTTCTTCATTAGTGGTCCCCATTGTTGTATATTACTTTCTATAGCGGTCCTCGTTGTTCTCTTATAAAGCTTTCTGTAATGGTCTCCATGGTTTCTCCTTGCTTTGTCTGTAGAGGTCCCCATTGTTTTATGTTACTTTCTATAGCGGTCTCCGTTGTTCTCTCATAAGCTTTCTATATTGGTCCCCATGGTTTATCCTTGCTCTGTCTGTGATGGTCCCCATTGATCTTACTTTGTATCTCTGTATTACTCCCCATTGTCCTATTATGCTCCTTCTGCAGTGATCCCCATTATACTTTATACTGCTCTTTCTGTAGTGATCTCCATTATATTTTATACTGCTCCTTCTGTAGTGATCTCCATTATATTTTATACTGCTCCTTCTGCAGTGATCCCCATTATATTTTATACTGCTCCTTCTGTAGTGATCCCCATTATATTTTATACTGCTCCTTATGTATTTGTCCCCATTATATTTTATACTGCTCCTTCTATAGTGATTCCCATTATATTTTATACTGCTCCTTCTATAGTGATCCCCATTATATGTTATACTGCTCCTTATGTATTTGTCCCCATTACATTTTATACTGCTCCTTCTGCAGTGATCCCCATTATATTTTATACTGCTCCTTCTGTAGTGATCCCCATTATATTTTATACTGCTCCTTCTGTAGTGATCCCCATTATATTTTATACTGCTCCTTCTGTAGTGATCCCCATTATATTTTATACTGCTCCTTCTGTAGTGATCCCCATTATATTTTATACTGCTCCTTCTGTAGTGATCCCCATTATATTTTATACTGCTCCTTCTGTAGTGATCCCCATTATATTTTATACTGCTCCTTCTGTAGTGATCCCCATTATATTTTATACTGCTCCTTCTGTAGTGATCCCCATTATATTTTATACTGCTCCTTCTGTAGTGATCCCCATTATATTTTATACTGCTCCTTCTGTAGTGATCCCCATTATATTTTATACTGCTCCTTCTGTAGTGATCCCCATTATATTTTATACTGCTCCTTCTGTAGTGATCCCCATTATATTTTATACTGCTCCTTCTGTAGTGATCCCCATTATATTTTATACTGCTCCTTCTGTAGTGATCCCCATTATATTTTATACTGCTCCTTCTGTAGTGATCCCCATTATATTTTATACTGCTCCTTCTGTAGTGATCCCCATTATATTTTATACTGCTCCTTCTGTAGTGATCCCCATTATATTTTATACTGCTCCTTCTGTAGTGATCCCCATTATATTTTATACTGCTCCTTCTGTAGTGATCCCCATTATATTTTATACTGCTCCTTCTGTAGTGATCCCCATTATATTTTATACTGCTCCTTCTGTAGTGATCCCCATTATATTTTATACTGCTCCTTCTGTAGTGATCCCCATTATATTTTATACTGCTCCTTCTGTAGTGATCCCCATTATATTTTATACTGCTCCTTCTGTAGTGATCCCCATTATATTTTATACTGCTCCTTCTGTAGTGATCCCCATTATATTTTATACTGCTCCTTCTGTAGTGATCCCCATTATATTTTATACTGCTCCTTCTGTAGTGATCCCCATTATATTTTATACTGCTCCTTCTGTAGTGATCCCCATTATATTTTATACTGCTCCTTCTGTAGTGATCCCCATTATATTTTATACTGCTCCTTCTGTAGTGATCCCCATTATATTTTATACTGCTCCTTCTGTAGTGATCCCCATTATATTTTATACTGCTCCTTCTGTAGTGATCCCCATTATATTTTATACTGCTCCTTCTGTAGTGATCCCCATTATATTTTATACTGCTCCTTCTGTAGTGATCCCCATTATATTTTATACTGCTCCTTCTGTAGTGATCCCCATTATATTTTATACTGCTCCTTCTGTAGTGATCCCCATTATATTTTATACTGCTCCTTCTGTAGTGATCCCCATTATATTTTATACTGCTCCTTCTGTAGTGATCCCCATTATATTTTATACTGCTCCTTCTGTAGTGATCCCCATTATATTTTATACTGCTCCTTCTGTAGTGATCCCCATTATATTTTATACTGCTCCTTCTGTAGTGATCCCCATTATATTTTATACTGCTCCTTCTGTAGTGATCCCCATTATATTTTATACTGCTCCTTCTGTAGTGATCCCCATTATATTTTATACTGCTCCTTCTGTAGTGATCCCCATTATATTTTATACTGCTCCTTCTGTAGTGATCCCCATTATATTTTATACTGCTCCTTCTGTAGTGATCCCCATTATATTTTATACTGCTCCTTCTGTAGTGATCCCCATTATATTTTATACTGCTCCTTCTGTAGTGATCCCCATTATATTTTATACTGCTCCTTCTGTAGTGATCCCCATTATATTTTATACTGCTCCTTCTGTAGTGATCCCCATTATATTTTATACTGCTCCTTCTGTAGTGATCCCCATTATATTTTATACTGCTCCTTCTGTAGTGATCCCCATTATATTTTATACTGCTCCTTCTGTAGTGATCCCCATTATATTTTATACTGCTCCTTCTGTAGTGATCCCCATTATATTTTATACTGCTCCTTCTGTAGTGATCCCCATTATATTTTATACTGCTCCTTCTGTAGTGATCCCCATTATATTTTATACTGCTCCTTCTGTAGTGATCCCCATTATATTTTATACTGCTCCTTCTGTAGTGATCCCCATTATATTTTATACTGCTCCTTCTGTAGTGATCCCCATTATATTTTATACTGCTCCTTCTGTAGTGATCCCCATTATATTTTATACTGCTCCTTCTGTAGTGATCCCCATTATATTTTATACTGCTCCTTCTGTAGTGATCCCCATTATATTTTATACTGCTCCTTCTGTAGTGATCCCCATTATATTTTATACTGCTCCTTCTGTAGTGATCCCCATTATATTTTATACTGCTCCTTCTGTAGTGATCCCCATTATATTTTATACTGCTCCTTCTGTAGTGATCCCCATTATATTTTATACTGCTCCTTCTGTAGTGATCCCCATTATATTTTATACTGCTCCTTCTGTAGTGATCCCCATTATATTTTATACTGCTCCTTCTGTAGTGATCCCCATTATATTTTATACTGCTCCTTCTGTAGTGATCCCCATTATATTTTATACTGCTCCTTCTGTAGTGATCCCCATTATATTTTATACTGCTCCTTCTGTAGTGATCCCCATTATATTTTATACTGCTCCTTCTGTAGTGATCCCCATTATATTTTATACTGCTCCTTCTGTAGTGATCCCCATTATATTTTATACTGCTCCTTCTGTAGTGATCCCCATTATATTTTATACTGCTCCTTCTGTAGTGATCCCCATTATATTTTATACTGCTCCTTCTGTAGTGATCCCCATTATATTTTATACTGCTCCTTCTGTAGTGATCCCCATTATATTTTATACTGCTCCTTCTGTAGTGATCCCCATTATATTTTATACTGCTCCTTCTGTAGTGATCCCCATTATATTTTATACTGCTCCTTCTGTAGTGATCCCCATTATATTTTATACTGCTCCTTCTGTAGTGATCCCCATTATATTTTATACTGCTCCTTCTGTAGTGATCCCCATTATATTTTATACTGCTCCTTCTGTAGTGATCCCCATTATATTTTATACTGCTCCTTCTGTAGTGATCCCCATTATATTTTATACTGCTCCTTCTGTAGTGATCCCCATTATATTTTATACTGCTCCTTCTGTAGTGATCCCCATTATATTTTATACTGCTCCTTCTGTAGTGATCCCCATTATATTTTATACTGCTCCTTCTGTAGTGATCCCCATTATATTTTATACTGCTCCTTCTGTAGTGATCCCCATTATATTTTATACTGCTCCTTCTGTAGTGATCCCCATTATATTTTATACTGCTCCTTCTGTAGTGATCCCCATTATATTTTATACTGCTCCTTCTGTAGTGATCCCCATTATATTTTATACTGCTCCTTCTGTAGTGATCCCCATTATATTTTATACTGCTCCTTCTGTAGTGATCCCCATTATATTTTATACTGCTCCTTCTGTAGTGATCCCCATTATATTTTATACTGCTCCTTCTGTAGTGATCCCCATTATATTTTATACTGCTCCTTCTGTAGTGATCCCCATTATATTTTATACTGCTCCTTCTGTAGTGATCCCCATTATATTTTATACTGCTCCTTCTGCAGTGATCCCCATTATATTTTATACTGCTCCTTATGTATTTGTCCCCATTATATTTTATACTGCTCCTTCTACAGTGATCCCCATTTTATTTTATACTGCTCCTTCTGTAGTGATCCCCATTATATGTTATACTGCTCCTTATGTATTTGTCCCCATTATATGTTATACTGCTCCTTATGTAGTTGTCCACATTATATTTTATACTGCTCTCTCTGTAGTGATCCCATTATATTTCATACTGCTCCTTCTGCAGTGATCCCCATTATATGTTATACTGCTCCTTATGTAGTTGTCCACATTATATTTTATACTGCTCCTTCTGTAGTGATCCCCATTATATTTTATACCGCTCCCTCTGTAGTGATCCCCATTACATTTTATACTGCCACTTCTGCAGTGATCCCCATTATATTTAATACTGCTCCTTCTGTAGTGATCCCCATTACATTTTATACTGTTCCTTCTGCAGTGATCCCCATTATATTTTATACTGCTCCTTCTGCAGTGATCTCCATTATATTTTATACCGCTCCCTCTGTAGTGATCCCCATCATATTTTATACTGCTTCTTTTGCAGTGATCCCCATTATATTTAATAATGCTCCTTCTGTAGTGATCCCCATCATATTTTATACTGCTTCTTCTGCAGTGATCTCTATTATATTTTATACTGCTTCTTCTGCAGTGGTCTCCATTATATTTTATACTGCTCCTTCTATAGTGATCCCAATTATATTATACACTGCTCCTTATGTATTTGTCCCCATTACATTTTATACTGCCACTTCTGCAGTGATCCCCATTATATGTTATACTGCTCCTTATGTATTTTTCCCCATTACATTTTATACTGCTCCTTCTGTAGTGATCCCCATTATATGTTATACTGCACTTTATGTATTTGTCCCCATTACATTTTATACTGCAAGTTTATTATCCCTGACGCCAGGACTATTTCCCGAGGCAAAGCCGAGGGAAATAGTCCTGGACGAGGGGGATCATAAACTTGCAATATCCCGAAATACCCATACTTCAACTGTTTTATTATACCGATACAAATACTCCCTTACAATATTCTAAATACTATTAGACAACAATAATTTGGAAGCACCAAAGAGTTGCACCAAAATAAAACAGAAAAGTTAACCGAAGAAGCAAACAAAAAATGGATAGCACAAATTCGCTAACGGATGCCTGTACTGGTTTTTTTGTGTGTGTTCCAACTGTCTATTGCCTCCAATATGTCCGACAACTCGCTCTCGTCCAACACAGAAAACCTGGGGTCGCCATTTCTGTTGTCGTCTGCCAACAGCAATGCGAGGTGAAGGTCGGTCCAGAAAGTACCGACTCCGCTGGCCGGAAATTGCCGACGTAATTTCATTGCGCTGATTGGTCAATATTCGGTCACGCCCCAACCACGACGTCACTCAATTTCCCGCATTTTCCGAGGGAAATAGTTCCAAACTATCGCACCCCTCCAGACGAACTATTTTTCTGGCATGCAGTTAGAGGGGAAATAGCTTGTTGATGTGGTTACTTTTGTATAGTGTAAAATAAGTAGAGGTATAATAATGAGCTATACCCCTACCTTTAGCCCTAACACTCACCCTACACTCACTACAGTGAGCTATACTCCTACCTTTAGCCCTAACAGTCAATCTATACTCACTTTAGTGAGTTATACCCCTACCTTTAGCCCTAACACTCACCCCCCATTCACTACAGTGAGCTATACCCCTACCTTTAGCCATAACACTCACCCTACATTTACTCGGTGAGCTATACCCCTACCTTTAGCCCTAACACTCACTCTATACTCACTACAGTGAGCTATACCCCTACCTTTAGCCCTTACACCCACCCTACATTCACTACAGTGAGCTATATCCCTAGCTTTAGCCCTAACACTCACCCTATACTCACTACAGTGCGCTATACCCCTTACTTTAGCCCCTAACACTCACCCTATACTCACTACAGTGATCTATACCGCTAACTTTAGCCCCAACACTCACCCTATACTCACAACAGTGAGCTATACCCCGACCTTTAGCCCTAACACTCAATCTATACTCATTTTAGTGAGTTATACCCCTAACTTTAGCCCTAACACTCACCCTACACTCACTACAGTGAGCTATACCCCGACCTTTAGCCCTAAATAACAACCCTACACTCACTGCAGTGAACTATACCCCTAACTTTAGCCCTAACACTCACTCTATACTCACTACAGTGAGCTATACCCCTACCTTTAGCCCTAAAAAACAACCCTACATTCACTACAGTGAGCTATTCCCCTAACTTTAGCCCCAACACTCACCCTATACTCAATGCAGTGAGCTATACCCCTACCTTTAGCCCCAACACTCACCCTACCCTCACTACAGTGAGCTATACCCCTACTTTTAGCCCTAACGCTCACCCTATACTCACTACAGTGAGCTATACCCCTACCATTAGCCCTAAATAACAATCCTACACTCACTGCAGTGAACTATATCCCTAACTTTAGCCCTACATTTACAACCAAACACTCACTACAGTAAACTATACCCCTAATCGTATCCCTAACAACAACACAACACTCACTACAGTGAACTTTAGCCCTAACAATAACCCAACATTCATTATAGTGAACTATACCCCTAACCGTATCCCTAAAAATAACCCAACATTCACTACAGTGAACTATACCCCTAATTCTAGCCCTGACAACAATCCAGCGCTCACTACAGTGAACTATACCTCTAACTCTAGCCCTAACAACAACCCAACACTCACTACAGTGAACTATACCTAACTTTAGCCCTAACAACAACCCAACACTCACTACAGTGAACGATATTCCTATGCTATATTTTCTTCCCGTGTTACTGCGTATGAAATAATCCACTTCTCTTGTGTGAAACTGCGTCGTTTACTTATCGATGCTCTCTCGAAATAAAACTATTTAATTGCGTCAAATCATTGTTTAATTATAATGGGATATGAATAGTTGACAAAGGTATGTGAACTCAGAAATATTGTTTACGAATCCTTCAGTGTAGTTCCACGGTGACCTGTAAGCAGCCGACAATTAGTTTATTTAAGTAAACAATGTTAACTTAAGATGTTAAACAACATGGAGTTTAATAACTAGGAGTAATTTGATTAATAAAATAACTGTTTATTGTCTTGAGGCAGAAGTAAGGTACGTCATATACTTGTTTACTTCTCATCACAGTAAACATCACGTTATGTTGTTTTATATATGATTCACGTGTTACAATGATACTAGTGAGGTTACCGTGATGTGTATAGTGATAATCGGTCCACGTGATGACTAAACGCTGCCACGCTATCTTTTCTCCTCTGCATGCGTGCCTGTTTTAAAATGTCTATTATAAACAATCATCCGGGCATCGGTATGTATATATATGTAGGATCCGTATAGCAAACCCGTTCTAAGTCAAAATGGCCGGAAGTGACTACGTCCGAGGAGACCTGCTGAATTTGGTCGTATTGATGTGCTATGGTCTCGTTGGATCCAACAGTGACTTTTTCGGTCGGGAACTGTTTGGAGTCAAAACGCCCTACCTGTGGTCGAGACAGAGCTCGGACGTAACTGACCTTACGTCCGTGCAATATAATGGACAGACATGCCGCGCAGTGTACGTGGACGGACTGTACCGACATGGTGCGCGCTACCCGTTGCTGAAACAGATTAACCGGATGAACGAACTGCACAGACTGTTAAGTGGCGGGAACGGCATTGACCCGTCCGTGGTGGACTGGGTGAACGCCTTCAAAGCCGACAAGGCGGCCCAGCTGTCAGCTCTCGGCCAGCAGGAAATGGTGGTTCTCGGGGAGAGGCTCGGATCTCGATTCCAAAGTCTCCTCAGTAGCGAAAAGGACAGAATTAACTTCTACTCATCGGCGAAAGACAGAGCCAAAGACAGTGCAACGTATTTTCAGAAAGGGTTAGGAAATACAATCGGCACCAACCTCTCCATACCGACCACTATTGACACCCTCATGCTCCGTTTCTACGATTCCTGTAAGTTATACAACAAAATCATGGATAACGAAAAGACATTCGAGGAATACGATAAGTTTCTGACCGGACCCGAAATGACCAACGTGGTGACCAACGTCAACAATGCAGTTTTGAGAGGTCACTTCAACCTAACGTTCGGTGAGCTTTCTGTTTTGTTATTGATAAACAAACGATAGTAAATGCAATGGTTGTGAAATTTCATGATGCTGTTGTCACAATAAAGCAGTATCATATTGTCATCAAGCAACGGTAATGATCTTGTTTTCTGTTTGTTATCTAGAACACGTGAAGATAATACAACAGATATGTGCGTTCGAGCTCGCCTTCTTCAACACATCGGACTGGTGTAGCTACCTCAGCCTTGCAGATCTGGAGGTGATTGATTACGCTGGGGATATACAGGTAATAAACATGTAACACAGAATAACATATAGTGAAAAAGAACAGATCCAGTAGGATTGCAGTTATGATAGGAAGGATAAGATATCATACAGTTTACATACAGGTAACAAAAAACATGACTGGAAGGAAAGCTAATATCATAGGAAATAGAAAAAGGTCCGGTATAGCTGATATCATAGGGAAAGTTAGATAACATAAGGTAACAAAAGGTAACATAGAAAAAGGTCCGGTAGTATAGCTGATATCATAGGGAAAGTTATATAACATAAGGTAACAACAGGTAACATAGAAAAGGGTCGGGTAGTATAGCTGATATCATAGGGAAAGTTAAATAACATACAGGTAATAACAGGTAACATAGAAAAAGGTCCGGTAGTATAGCTGATATCATAGGGAAAGTAAGATAACATACAGGTAACAACAGGTAACATAGAAAAAGGTCCGGTAGTATAGCTGATATCTTACAAAGTTACATAGCACACAGGTAACAACAGGTAATATAGAAAAGGTCGGGTAGTATAGCTGATATCTAACAAAGTTACATAGCATACAGGTAACAACAGGTAACATAGAAAAGGTCGGGTAGTATAGCTGATATCATAGGGAAAGTTAGATAGCATACAGATAACAATAGGTAACATAGAAAAGGTCAGTAGTATAGCTGATACCATAGGGAAAGTTAGATAGCATACAGGTAACAACCGGTAACATAGAAAAAAGGTCGGGTAGTATAGCTGATATCATAGGGAAAGTTAGATAGCATACAGGTAACAACAGGTAACATAGAAAAGGTCGGGTAGTATAGCTGATATCATAGGGGAAGTTAGATAACGTACAGGTAACAACAGGTAACATAGAAAAAGGTCCGGTAGTATAGCTGATATCTTACAAAGTTACATAGCATACAGGCAACAACAGGTAACATAGAAAAGGTCGGGTAGTATAGCTGATATCTTACAAAGGTACATAGCATACAGGTAACAACAGGTAACATAGAAAAGGTCGGGGAGTATAGCTGATATCTTACAAAGTTACATAGCATACAGGCAACAACAGGTAACATAGAAAAGGTCGGGTAGTATAGCTGATATCTTACAAAGGTACATAGCATACAGGTAACAACAGGTAACATAGAAAAGGTCGGGTAGTATAGCTGGTATCATAGGGAAAGTTAGATAGCATACAGATAACAATAGGTAACATAGAAAAGGTCAGTAGTATAGCTGATACAATAGGGAAAGTTAGATAGCATACAGGTAACAACAGGTAACATAGAAAAGGTCGGGTATTATAGCTGATATCATAGGGAAAGTTAGATAGCATACAGATAACAACAGGTAACATAGAAAAGGGCCGGGTAGTATAGCTGATATCATAGGGTAAGTTAGATAACGTACAGGTAACAACAGGTAGCATAGAAAAAGGTCGGGTAGTATAGCTGATATCATAGGGTAAGTTCGATAACTTACAGGTAACAACAGGTAACATAGAAAAGGTCGGGTATTATAGCTGATATCATAGGGAAAGTTAGATAGCATACAGGTAACAACAGGTAACATAGAAAAGGGCCGGGTAGTATAGCTGATATCATAGGGTAAGTTCGATAACGTACAGGTAACAACAGGTAACATAGAAAAAGGTCGGGTAGTATTGCTGATATCATAGGGAAAGTTAGATAGCATACAGGTAACAACCGGTAACATAGAAAAAGGTCGGTAGTATAGCTGATATCTTAGAAAGTTACATAGCATACGATTTACTTAGAACTTAGATGCAACAAACAGGTATCACGCAGGTAAAAAAACATGTGGAGTAGGATAGGGTTGGAGTAAACCAATTCCTAACCATTGAAACACTAGATTGGCTATCCACATTTTTGTTGTGCATCCTATATTTGTTTTGGCATATTCTTCCTACTTCCCTCTTCTGTGACCAGTCCATAGCCTAGACTTCTCATTACATTCTACAAACTGTGCTCATACATGTAAACTAGATGATGGCGTGAATTTAAGTTGGATTACTGGTCTATGTTAGTCTTTTCCATAACTCTGATGTTGCCTGTCTAATACGCGTTAATCAGGTTAATACTCTAGAAGTCACCAGTCAACAGGGTTCTGTATCAAATGTTCTCCTCTAACACCCCAATACATAGATTGTCTGCGATAGGCAAGCTCGGTATACCTGTACCTTTACCAAACCTAATTTGATAAAGGATTCCTTTGAATTAAAGTATTGATGAATATAAACTCAAAGGCTAATCATGCTACCTACGGCCGTTTTGCTCCTCAGTTCCTTAAATTAGGGTCGTATGACTCTCACACCGCTCACACCGTATAACAGATATCGCCTTGTCCGTTTTGGTAAGCATCCCTACGTTCGATCCCATAATGGAAGTGCTAGCTGTAACCAATTGAACCTGGCTTATCCACGTCTGTACGGGTGAACTTCCTGGTGTGTTTTTGGCTTACAGTTCATGTGTGGTACGATCTTTGAGGTAGGAATTTATCTCAACTTAAACATCACCTTTTAGTAGTAGGAGCGTGATAAGAAGTGTGTTGGATATCTGTCGCACTGGTCATGGACGAGGACGATATGAAGGAGAAATACGTAAAGGGTGAAATACAAAAATGTAGAGTCCAAAACTTGACTGTGACGATAAAGACAGTGAAAATACAGCATTATGGAAAAGAATAGAATAGAAAACACATAAAGACACTGTCGACCAGGTAAACAATTAGGGTGTGTTTTCTCAATCTGGTGAACAGCTGCATAATGGTAACCTACAGTTTATGATGAGCAGGTGACATTTGGGTAACAATTACACAGAAGTAAGAAATAAGTACCATAAACGTAAATTATATTTTTATCCGGGTAGTTTAAAATAGGTATCATGTTTGGCGATGGACGATATGTATCAAGGCACATACAAATAACACACACTGTGTATTCATAGACGATTACAGTTGTGTGGTATGTATATTACAAACTGTGTGTCGTTACAGAGTAACAAAGAAGGCGGCTACCGACACGAGATCACAGCCCAGATGTCGTGTCCACTCCTCAAACACGTACTTCAACAGATGGACAAAGTGGTGACTGCCCAGTCCGACAGGTAACGCCGTCAATAATTCTGTGAAGAACAATTTTATTGCATTGATATTTTGCCAAGTCGTCACATAAATAGTAAAACTAAAAACTTAAAAACTCGACTTTGAGGAGTCATCCGAGTACTATATACATTAGAACAAAACGCAATATCCTATGTCCTTTTGCTCTGTGCTGGTGATCAGGGTATCCTCAACCCCAATACTGTCTGTGGTGGTGATCAAGGTATCCTCAACCCTTATACTGTCTGTGGTGGTGATCAGGGTATC